CCACAACCCAACTCTACCACAACCCAACCTTGTCCCACCAAATCCATCATTCTGAGAGGGAAGACYGTTTTAACTGAGACATAGTGTTAAAACACATATAATCTTATTAGTCCTGGTGCTTCTACAATTCCCACTGATCCATGCCATATTTAAACTGCAAACAGTTTAAATTCCATCACAGTCCCTATGATTAGTGTTTCCACTCATCTGGTAATAGGCCTGAAGAGATGCTTTAAAAATGGAAATGGTTTTTAGAAACAATCGAGGAAATAATAGAAATGTGTTTCTGAATCTGAAAGTCTACGTGAAATTAGTGATTCAAAAAACCTCCAACCATCTTTGAAAACACGTAAATTCTCAGCACAAAACAAYAATATTTACTTTTTGTTTGTCTAGATGCTATCAGAATAACAAACAAAAACAATGCTTTCTGTTCRTTTTGTATCAAGTATTTGGTTTAGAGTACGTCTACTTATATCTCAAAAAGGTAATAAAAGAAAGATTATTCCCTGCAGGTGAACTAAAATCTTATCTTAGKAAAACATTTAAGCATATGCTTAAGTCAGTCTATATTCAACAAATCCTCTAAATACAACCCAGGAACTAGATAGACCATATTCCAGGTTGGTTTGTGCCTCTGGAGTCTCTGAATGACGAAGAAAACCTACTGAAAGACTTCAGCTGAATTTAGTGAATTGTCCTGGCTCTATGCAAGGCAAGAAGCTTCCACCCTTGGTATGTCCTTCCTCATCTATAGGTACAGAACTCTTTCCAGCTCCCACTGAACTCACTGAAAGTCCTGTGATTCATTTCATCACGAGCAGGAGCCAGACAGAAATACGGTCAGTTTGATGAAAATGCAATGCATATGTTAAAATAAAGTAGGATCACATCTGCATTTTGTCTGCATGCTAAACAATAATGTGAATTTCTTAGTGCTATTTTGGAAAAAAAAAATAGTTTGACTGTTCTTTCCAAAGGAAACTTGGCAACAGCAAAATCTAGATGTAAAATTTAGTGTTTTAAAGTTTTAGGCCACCAACATTGATTTAACAGTCTAAAAAGATTTTCTTGCTCTGGAAGAGTCCATATAGAGTGACACTTTTTCTTCTCCTTCAAATCTTGGGGGCAAAAAAAGTCATTTCAATTAAATATTTCAAGTGCCAACTTGGAACTAATTTCTGTAGCCAAATGCAGATTTTTAATGGGCAGGCAGAATTCCACGGTGATAAAATCACAAATCATGGGAACAATAGCTCTGCCTCTATCTACAGACAGACAAACAGACCAACATACAGAAAGTGCCTATCTCTCAAATACATTCAGCTATTTGYCTTTAGAAGGGAAGAAACAATTACTCTTTAGTGGCATAGCCATAAGTGAATCATCGGGTATCACTCTTGCGTATGAAGATAGATGGCACATTTTACTAAAGATGTGGCTTTTGTCTCTCATTCTCTCTCTCCAAGGGAGTCTCATTTACAGCAAGGATTTATTCACCACTGCAGAATAAATGATGGTTACAGCCATACACACACAYGTGTGTGAATATCTAGTCACTACTCAGAGTGATAGTGATGCAACCACTATGTTCTAAATATAGATGGGCAAGTATGTGATCATTTAAAAAAAAAAATCTGTGAATACTTCTTGGTTGATTATCTCCTGATTTTTGTTGTTTGTGTAAAAGCCCTTGCTATGGATGCTGTCATTCTTACTAAGTTATTGTTAGTGGTTCAGTGTTCTCATTGGTTGAATGGTTTCTATAGTACGTCAGATAAGTAAATTGGAATGGTGCATTTCAGAAATATCCCTCAGTTTCTGGGAAACAAAGAAATCTGGGAGACACTGATTACAGCCTGTAGAATACTTTATCCCAATACAAACATAACAAACAAAGCAAATTCAGAAATCAACAATGTGTGCACTTTAGGGTATTTGGGACTGTTTTTATTGTGGGATTGTTAGTTTTTTGGTTGGGTTTTTTTTTGGGGTTTTTTTTTTTTGGTTTTTTTTTTTTTTTTTTGCAATTTAACAGCCATGGCCTATTTAAAAAAGAACAGATTGGTGATGATGTAAACTGGATAGTTGTCTCCACATGCTCCAGATAATTTGMGAAGACAGTCACACCTTCACTTGTTTTGTTTTGTCTCCTTTTTAAACAACTTGTACTATCTTAATGGAATCCAACTCCAATGAGAACAACAGATTTGAAACTTTTTCCCCCTTTTTTATGCGTTTTTTGGTACAGACATTGCTGAGGCTTTCAATTTCTTAATTTTGGTGTACTCTACTTTCCCTGGCTTGCTTGTACATAGTTCAATGATCAGGGCACTTCAGCCCATGCTTAACTTCACTTCTTCCATAATCCTATGGATGGAATTCACATGGTTTAAAATAAGTTTGTTAGTAAATCATCTGTCTGAATGGAGGCAGTGAACAATAAGAGCAGCTCTTTTAAAAGAAAAACTAATGTTTCTCAAGTGCAAAGCATCATAGGGAGGCAAGWATAGAAGATAGAACGTGCATGATTTTTAAGATGCCCAGATTTTAGGAATTCAGGTTAAGGTTTCCATGGTGATGCTATCTTCATCTACTTCCTTATGAACTTGGGTCTCTGCTGAGTTCCACCCACATAGAAGGATAGAACAGGGTCAAAGGTTTTCTGTGTATTTCCAAGTAAATTGCAACAGGAGGAATGACGCTGTTCAACTCAAGTGTTTTGTATACTAATATGTCAAAGAATTTGTTTTTCCTTTAATGTCCCCTTCTTTCCCTTACTATTCATTTCTCAAAGGAAAACCCTGATTTAAGAGTGTGAATCGGAAAAAAAAATACTTTATKCAAGATGCATTTTTTAATACAGGCAACATGAGCTCAGTGTAAGATCCAGTGACCAGAAAGGAAGCTCATGCCACTTCTGCAACAGGACAATCCTGAGGATTTTCRAAAAACATTTTTCCAGTTGTTTAAATTTGAAACTAGTTGCCCACAGCTCTAAGCATCCTTGGAGGATGATAAATCTCTGGTCATATCTTGGCCTGCCCTATCTACTAGTCCTCTAGTCAGAAGAATGCAACCACAGTTTGAACTGCTGGAGTAGTACAATGACAGTATTATAATGGTGACAATTTAGACCACAGATCTCTAGTTCAAGTAAGTCAGTCTTTAGAAACATGTCACCCCACTCAGCACATCACTTTGATTTCTCATTTCCTCTGCTACATGAAGCATAAGTTTTTTGCTTCTACTTTCTTTGAGGCCTCTCTCTGCCTATTTAACCTGCGGTTTTTGCTCAGTTCCTAGCACTTGATGCCAGCCTCTGCTGACTCTGGTTGTGGGCACCCTTTGCCCACTTGTTATATTTGCAAACAAGTCCCTTTGGGTTACCTTCCATGCCTCTGCACTCACATATGAGAAAAATTTCATATAAACATCTGCAAAATCCCTTCATTGTCCTCTGTCTTATTGCACTCTAAAACTCTGACTATGAACAGCTCGAAATCAGCCACATTGCTGGTGTGCTATACTGCAACCACCTGTTATACCACTCAATTTTGGTTTGTTGTTTCTTCACACTTGCTTTCACTCTTCTATGCTGTATCTGTCTCCTTCTACAATTATAAGGTCTTAGGAACTAACATCAAATATAACAGAATCTTAATCTGTGCCTAGTACAAACTCTGGGCTAACAGAAAGCATAAAAATGAATGAGGCAGTTATGCAGGAAATGTGCATCGTCATGAAATGATATCAGCTGTGATAGCATTGTCACAAAATGCAATCACTGCATAAAATACTGATCTCACTGACTGATCAAAGCTCTCTGACTTCAGTGAAACCCAGGAAATTGTCCTTTGCCATCAAATCTTCAGATAGACACATGGTTTTAAGCATTCTTTTCTTCATCAGCAGTGATCAGAAACCTCCCTTTTTGAAGTGATTTTGATAATATCATACCTGTTGGCCACTGTCTGATCTGGTCTTCATTTTCATTTCTTGCCTACCTGCTCTGCAGTGCAGAATTATATGTGTGTTTATATACTGCCAAAAATATTTATCACTGTTGTCAATAATTAATCATTATTGACAGTGAGACTATTACATGATGCACTTTGTCTGAATGAATCTATAAATTGGAGGAGGTTATGCTGGTGAATACCAAGAGTGTTTTGCATTTATCATGTTATCTGAAGCAAAGCAGACAATCCTTTTAGAAATATTGCTGTACAATACAAGCTGGTCAAAACCAGCTTTGGACTTCAAAAATGCCCACTCATGTTTAGACTAAATATTCAATATTTCCTATCCTTTGTTTAATAAATCTAAATAACCATTTGGARGAAAATTTACATCTCAAACTGAAAAATAAGAAATATTTCTGAGAAGTGAGATACGGTCTGTGATATGAGCGTGCTACTTCTATTAACCCATTACTGTGTTTTCAWTTTTTTCTGTTCATTTTGCAAGAAGCTCAGCATCCCCACATTATGAGAAAATCTTTCTCCATCTCCTTCCCAATGCCTCTATTTTTCCTTCAGAAGCTCAGGACTCAGCTGGCATAYCTTTGACATTAATTTAAAGCCCCTTTTGACAGTCCCTTCATCGTGGACATGGACTGGTCTTTTTAAAAATCAAAACTCGCAGTTAATTTAAAGACCGTAAGCTATGGCCCGGGTTCCACGGGAAGCATCGGGCTTTCYCAGGTGTGAGAAGGGGTTCAGAGAAAGTTCAATTGTTCACGGCAAGATCGAAAAACGGAAAGGAGAGAGAAAGAAGGGATCTTCCCCCAACCCACATACACTTACATCTGTCCCCGCCGTGCCTCCCCCTGGCCCCACGACTCTCCAGACCGTACCCCAAGCACATCGGAAATGGACCCGGCGAGGTCGCAGCAACATGCATTCGCGGGAGGGAGGGAAGGGAAGGGACAAGGGGATGCCTTCGCACGGTCTGATCATCACCATAAAGAGTTAAAGAGAGTGAAATGGCTAACGTACACACACCCCGCTCCATACCGGAGAAGAGTCTCCCAGCTGAGGCTTTTGCTCTGTGAGGACCAGGCTGAAACTGACCGCCCCCACGGCCACGCTGGACACCCCTAACCCTATCTCCAGCACGGAGAGCACCAGGAGGCTCCCGATGATCTGGCTGCTGGTGCACATCCTCCCTCGGTCATCCTTCCTTCCCGATCAGCCGGGGAAACCGCGCATCYTTCTCCTCCTCCTCCTCCTCCGGCGCTCCCTCGGCCCTAAGTCGCCCCCAAACTTTTCTTCCTTCGCCGGCAGCCGGGGCGGAGCGGCTCATCCGCGGCCGGCGGGCGCTGCCGAGGGACGGCGGGGCGGCCCCAGCGGGCCCCGCACAGGCAGCGCCGC